GTAGCGTTAATACGTGGGGTTGAGTACGGATATCAGGCATCCAAAGCCGTCCAATTTTAGCGCGCGCAGAGTTGTTTCAAGACGCTGCCCAGTCGCCCAAAGACAGACAGCATCAATTTCCGTATTAGGACTTTCACACCTAATCTACAAAGCCGACAACCAACAGGGCCTATTTCTTTGTGCCCGACAACAACGCATCTTGATCAACTGAGACACCATGCTACCGACCCGTTAACTAAAGAAAGGAGGGGTGCTTGGTCGCCAAACAGTTATTAGGGTTTCTTCGAGTAAACGGTAAACAAGCTCAACGCTAAACAGTGGACTGCAATTCCCTCTTTTGCCCTTGTTTCTCGAATGCCTGTTCTTTAGATACGGGCAAGTTGATGCTATTGACAGCTAGAATCTCGCACGGGCTCCCACTTTGGCCAGTTATGGCGAGATCTTCACCAACAAGGCCCTCCAACGTCGATCTTGTCATGTTTCGGATGAACCTGGGGACTCTGACAGCGCAAGGGTCAAGTCGACCGTGAGATCTTGTACTCTGCTAAGGCGTCTCTTCTGATTCACAGATCGATGGATGCACTTTGCGGGCGCCATCAACCCCGCAACAACAACCCGGTTCTCTTTCTTGCTCCGGTGAGGCCTGATCCATGCGCTGGCAACTCATCGCTATCGACCTGTTTGATTGATGTTGTCTGTGATCCAAACTCTTGATTGAAACGATACCGGCCCCGAAAAGAAAGATCCGACTGGGTACCGGCTCATCCCGCCGAATCAATCGTCCACTGCGCACCATGGTTGCTTATTCCAGCGGGCTTAGACACACCGAACTTCTACTATTGGCTGATTATTCGTCGTTCACGCCCAACAACTCGAGTGTTTTGGTTCCGCAACATGACGATGCAAGCCGCCGCAGATCAGTATGTGGAGTTAGATGACGGTTGCACTGAGAATCTATTATACTACTGCGCCGTATAGCGGTAAGCACCAGTAACTGGCCGATGTCGCAGTGAAACTCCGAGTCTCTGTTGAGATCTCATTCACACTAGCCTTCAATCCCAAGCATAAGCGCCCTGAAAAGTGCCAGACACTTACAGCTTCGAGTTGAGCTTGGTCAAGATGCAGGCATATATCGTCGCAACGCACAGCACACGAGACGGGCAAATGCTTCTGAAAAGCCGTCAAGCCACAGCACGGCGGTTTCTGGAAGATACACGATACCCGACCAATTGAAATGAGACGTTTAGAAATGAAGAAAATCCACAAGGCTTTCCGCCCCTCATCTCCAGAAGATGCTGAGCGTTAGGACCAGTGCCTAGTCGGCTACCTTATCTTCGGCAGCCCAGCAACTGCAACTAACAGATTCCTGAACACCCTTTTCATGACAAAACCAGGCCGGCGCGGCTGGAAATAGGACTTCCAGTAGTATCTAGAATGCAGTCATTCTGGATCTGCGTTCCTGTGGTTTCGCTCATCAACAACCATGGGCACCCGGACGGCACAGACGGATATACCATATGATGGCGCGAACGGTGAACCAAGTCAGCTAGGAAGGTTCACCAGACACGCGACATTGTCCTTTCGCCCATCGCTGTCCAGCCAACTCCGAGCATACAACCAGTCGACTAAACGCTCCCGTCCGGCCCCAAAGCTAGCGTTTTCTCCGTGTTGCCCTTTATTTCAGCATCTTCCCACCTTCCATCGAAGCATACTACAGCCTTCGGGTGCGCTTAGGCATGCAAGGTCAAAAGGAACGACAAAGGCAAGATCACACTATTCCTCATACGGCGGCAGCATGCTTCCAGACTGCTTTCCCCCTTTTGAATGGCCTCCCTAAGTTTACGAGGCAAGGAGGTCTCTTTGGTTTGCGATCATCATCTCGAGTGTCGCGAACACGACGTCTGAGAACAAAGGCAAGCGTGAGGCAGCCGCTAAGAAGCAGTTATCCGTAACCCTTACCAGCCAACGCTCAGCCGGTCAGAACATCAATCTTTGCACTTGGGGAGCAGACCGCCTAACCCACCATCAATTCAATACACAGTTTGCGAACCAGGATCCTGAGCTCTCGATATTGCCTGGATCTCTTCGCAATCGACATAATGATGTTCACCTCATTGCCTCATGAACAGGATGCGGCATTCAGTCGGAGACTGGCAAAACATTGTCGGGCTGAATGACAGACTAACGGCTTGTCGCTCTAGAACTCCGCACAGTAAGGCGGCAGGGCGACCACCGCATAAGCTCCGTATCAGAGACTTGACGTTCAAGACGAGAATGAAACATTCCGAGGGAAACTATTTTGTTTTCAGACCGACCGTGAACTTCAATCGAGACGCAGTATGGGGTCCCTTTTTTCTCCGTGATACTGGTACGGCAGCGCCGGATGTAGGCGTCATGACGATGACCTTTGGCGAAGCGATGGGGCCTAGGCCATTTTGCCATCTCATTTTACGTGCGAAAGAAGCGACATCACCACTCGCACCTCGTGGTGCAACTGGTTATCTCACAATGCACTAGTTCCGTCGGGAAAATGTATTGGATCAAGACCGACGAGTGTCGGTAACATAGCACCGGACCGCGAGCGACCCGTGCCGCTTGCACGCGTCTACCATTCATTCGGTAACGTCATCGTGAAGCAAAAGGAACTGTCGTACCAAGGGTTGCTTTCTTTCTTTGCTGCGGCGTGTCAACCATCTTTTTTTGGTCCCTCGAGCCGGACCTCTCGTATCGCAGAGATGTGATACAACAGTCGATAGTCCCGGTCACAGGACTCGAGATGGCGACTTACCGACATTCTTGTGGCAATTCGCAAGGGTCTTTACTGATTGCACTGGTCATTAACTGGCCTTAGGATGTTTTCGAAGCACTTCTCATGTTGTACAAGGGACCATATGACGGGAAATGAGGTCGCCCTATCTACCCACAGGTTGGAGTTGCTGTCGAACACACCGCGGATATCCCGACCCCAAATATGGGTTCCTGGAGAGGATCATGGCAGGGATTGACGGGAGACGCGCTGTAGACGACCCGGGATACTCAACAGAGCTGGTGTTCAACTTAGTGGGTGCTCACCGACGGGGAGCCGCATAGGAGGGCCTGCATGTGGGCGGATATGATCGACCCGGCAAATGCGACGTCGATATTGCCGTTCGCCGACGGCGGGCGCCTGGATGAACCGGAAACCCTCCTCTCAGATAGGAGCAGTGTCCCTTTCAAGACTCCACGAGGATGATGGTGCAGATTGCAGCATGCAGGCGGAAGTCGACGAGTACGAGCGGAGATAATCGATGTAGGCTCCGATGCGCAAAGTCTTCTTACGCGGCTAGACCGGTTGTTCCTTTGGACGCCTGACCCTTGCCCTCGTCGCTATCGATGCCTGTATTCGCGCCCGCAAATTATTTACGACGACAGAAGACCTCTGCGTTTATGGGGGATCTCTCGATCACTCGCACTTGCTACTCCCTGCGAAAATGCAAGACGCAGGCGAGGCCGGGGCTATAGTCTGACCTGTCTCACTCGATAGGTCTTGGTCTATGTACCAAGTGTATGTTATGGAGAGACGATGAAACGAGACACAATATGGGAAAAGGTCAATACTGCAAGAGATGCTTACCCGCACCAGGCTGTCCCGAAGATCTTTGTTCCTAGCGGCGCGGTTCTTCAGATATCCTAGAGAGAATGTGCCCATGCTTACAAACGCGCGCGCGCACGCGTAGTCATGTGCCTGGCGGATATGCACGTGGTATCCCTTCCAAGACAGTGTCGACATTCTAAAGGCCACTGAGACAAAGGCGGGTGGTCAGCGGCAGCGCGGCCCTTGATCCAGAACGCTACACCCCGGCAATGAAGAAGGTGAAGAGGAGGGGGCGTAGGAAGATGGAATGGTCAGAGGGGAATTCTGGAACGCCGAGGTCTCGTTCGAGATTGACTCGGGAGGGAATCCGGGGCAGAGTCGAGGGGGGATGAAAGGGAGGGTCATGTGGTATTTGAGACCATCTTGTGGTATTGGGTACAAGGTGGCAGATGTAGTGTCCAGGTGCAGAAACTGTATGGGGCACGGGACGCAGCCGCGGTCTTTTCGGTCACTTTTGTCGGATACCGAATGGCGGACTCGGACTCGGAGTCTGCGATGGCGAGCAAGTTGCGAGAATCAAGAAAGACTTGAGGTATGTTTCACTTCCTTGCGATCAAGATACTAAGAACCCTCAGCAGCGGTGGGATGCTTTATTGGACGACGTAGTTGTATTGGAAATATCAACATTTCGATGATGCTCCAAGGGCATCTTTCCTGGAAGATGGTATTCGGCCCTGGGATGGACGCAATCGGAATCGAGGATGTTGCCCGGTAATGCCACCGCGACCGTGTCCGGACGTTGCTTTCGATGAGCACCGCCTCAATTTACCACCGCAAGATATTGAGATGATCACGCTGCCCGGTCCCAGGCTTGTTACACTGTTCCATGTGGATGAAGGCTCGTTACCACGTTGATCCGGGTTTCGAATCATGCAGATGTCGTCTGCAGCCAGACACGGAATCCGGGATTCATTGGGAAGTGTGGCTCCTACAATGGCCAAAGGAGTGCCACCGTCTTCCCGAGTGGTATTCGCAGGGCGTCTTATTATACGAAAGATACGAGCGGCTTCCTATTCAGAAAGACGATCGCGATAGCTAGTCGATCAAATCGGAAGAACTGGGCAGAAAGATTCACAGGGCGTAGATTCCACACCCTGGCACGCAAACACGTCTTGCGGGGGGAGCCGTTGTTAAGGTTTCGTTCATCGTAATCGCATTGCCCGTTTCGCTTTGCCTTCGTTTTACGTGTGCCTTGCCTTACCATGACGTTAGTTGGTTGGGAGAAGAGGGGGGGTGCGTGGATGGAGGATTTGCCTGGAGGATAGAATGGACGCAAATCAACGGATGGGGCAATTGAGGCGGTGAGGATCTTCAACAAGGGGAGGGGGGGAGGGGGGGGGGGGGGGGGGGGGAAACCTTGACGTGCCTTGCAGAAGGGCTCTACGAATCGGGATGGGACAGGGGCATTGGTTGTGTCAACTGTTCTTTTTCGCTCTGCTGTGGTATGCAAGAGACGAGATGATTGCCGTGTATGGCGTCCTGGAGGGAAAAGAGTTGGAGATGCGTAATGGGATCGGGAGGGGGATGTGGGTGGGTATAGGTGTTGGGCATGGGTTCTGGGTGATGGAGATATCCAAGGGTCCGGGTGAGGAATTCATGGATGATCCCGTCTAGAGAACCAGGTGGAGGGATGGGATCGAAAGGCGTGGTAGATATCTAGATGCCATCGTTAGAATCGACGAGGAGGTGTATTTTGACAGGAAATCCGATAGCCAAAAAAGAAAATTGAAAGAAGAGATGGCGAAGATGAAGTAAAATTATATTGGGTTATTCCGAATATGTCTTGATGGTGATTGGAAAACTACAATTTGCTGGGGGGGAGCACTTAGCCCTTGAGAAGGCAGCATTAAGAAGGCAGTGGTAGGCGCGAACAAGTCAAAACTCAATATGAATCGGGACGTGAAATCGGAAGCAGGATGGTACGCCATCATCGCAAGTATCTACGCGAAGAAGACTGAACGCGAACTGATGGCTGCATTAAGAGCACCCTACAACCCATACTTACTTCGGCCCCCTCCCCTTGGAACCCTTTGGAACAATGAGAAGCCTGTGACGGGTAACTCGCCGCGAAAAGAAATAAGAGTGCGAAGTTGGGATGAGACGATTTGTGACAAGACAAGTAATTTCAGGTCAAAAGATGGGATGGAGAGGCAGGGGGAGGCTGACTTTCAGGGTTCAAGTCAGAACTTGACAGATGACGAGTCATTCACAGAAGAAAGTGGACGAGACGAGTTATTTTGACTTTGTGTATTTAACTCAAAGTACTGCTATCTTATGGAGGAGTACGGCTGAAGCGTACAATCTATGGACCGTTCGAAAAGTCGAAACACTAAACACCGAAAGCCATGTTGTGGTTGTAAGGAAAGACAAGAATGAAGAAATAACAGATCATGACAGATAAGGAAAAGCCGAGCATTATGAGACAGTTACGCCCCTCGTAGTGTGAGTATCCCCTCCTTCTCCAGTTTCCCAAACCCAATTGTTCCCATCCCATCGACGTAAATAAGGAATGATTCGTAGATGTATGCCGGTCGCACTTGTACAGGGAGCGGATATCAAATGTTAAGACAGAAAAAAGAAAATGAAGACAAGAAGAAAATGGAATGTAGTAAAAGGAAAAATAAAGTCAGTCTCATATCATGCTCGCATCGTCATGTAATGTCCTGTGTCCCTTCTATACCCGGCAATGCGCGTATGCTCATATGCTCCGCTATGTAGTTCCTTACTCGCAAAGCGCTTCACGAATGAACTGTCCAAGTTGTTTGGCCTGAGGAGAAAGGTTAGTAGGTGGATAGAGATGTATGTGTGAGTGGTATAGACTTACATAATCGCCATGCATCATGGAAAAGTGGTTGCCAGGCATGTGCCTAGTCCTGAACTTGTTGATGTCCAGGTACTCGTCCCAACGGTTGGCACCGAAGTCGGTTCGGTTGTCCAGAAGGAAGAGAGCGTGGCCCGTGGGGTAGGGGTCAGGGCGAGGGTCGGAAGGCAAGTGGCAGACACCATCCTCGCACCAGATGGCCATGACGTTGGGGCACTTGTCTTTGGGGATGGGCTCCGCAGTGTAGTTGCTGAGGGCAGTAACACTGGCTGCGAAGTGAGGAAGGAGCCATGACGGAATCTTCTTGTTGTCGTCATCACCCTCGCCGAGAAGGCCGATGGAGGCGAACCAAGCGTGAAGACTCTTGGGAAGGGGTTCAATGGTGATGGGGCAGGGAGCATCGATAATGATGAGGTTATCGACACTCTCACCGACCTTGGTGAGCTGGTTGACAATTTCGTAGGCGATGACACCACCCGCAGACCAACCGGCCAAGGAGTAAGGACCTTTCGGCTGCCTTGCCTTCATAGCCTCAATGAACTTGGAGGCCATGCCGTAGACACCGCACTTGAACTCCTCAGGCGTCTTCATGAAGGGGGAGAAGAGACCCCAGACAGCCCATTGGCTGGAGACCTGGCTGATCTCAGTGTACGAGGTCGCGCAACCACTGCCGTCGGGAACCATCCAGAGGTTCTTAGTGGCAGTACGAGTGCTACCCTGAAGAAGGATGGATGTGGCCTTGCGGTGGGGGTAGTTGTCAATGATCTCCCTTGGTGGAGGGGGTTTCGTGATGGAGGCGGTGGTGTTGCCAGGGTGAGTGTTAATCTCTCTGGTGGGCTCCACCTTCTCGCGGCGAGCCACCGGAGCAGCCTTTGCAGGCTTAGGTGCAGCGGCAGCCTTGGGCTTTGGGCCAATGCCGAGAGCCTTCTCAACCTCCAAGAGTGAGGGGTTTGTGACAAAGAGATCGTTGGGGATATCCTGGCCAGATTTCTCACGGAGAGTGCCAAGGATTGACAAACTCATCAAAGAATCCATGCCCAGAGCAGCCAGATCAGGAGCGGCAATAATCTCCTCAACCTCGACACCCATCTCAGTCGCGATGGTCTCGCGGAGGATATTCTGAAGATCGTCACAATCCTCCTCCTCGGCATCACCCTTGACTGATCGGTCACTTTCCTCGTAGGGAGTAGTGACGTTGGAGTCAGACTCGAGCTCAGGTGTCTCAGAGACAGAGCCGCTGGAGTCACCAGAATCCTGGACATAGGTGTCCTTGCGGTCAGAGGTCTCGAACTGACCGAGGAAGACTTTGAATGCTCCAATGGTTGGGTACTCGACGAAAGCGTGAGAGTCAATGTCGATGTCAAGCTCCTCACGCATTCTGCCAGAGACCGTCAAAGCCATCAGTGAGTCGCAGCCCAAATCGGTGAAGGCGATGTTGTCAGCAAGCTCGTCGTGGGTAACACCAACTTCCTTCGCCAGGATGTCAAACACATCCTGAACGACGGAGCGCTTGGAGAGCTTGGCATTGACAGCCTTGAGGTTGCTTGCGGTGACCTGCTTGGAAGCCTTCTCCTTGCCACTCTTCTCCTTGGCGGGTGCAGCCTTGGCAGGAGCAGCGGCCTTGGGTGCCGGGGCGGCAGCAGCAGGAGCAGCACCAGCCGCAGCGCGACCACGAGGCGGAAGAACCATGTTGAGCACCTTACGGGGGATGGACTGGAACTTGACGTCGCCGGCAACACCAATGATGCGATCACCATCAAAGACGTACGCATCACCAGCCATCATCTTGGTACCCTTGACAGGCTGCATGCGGACGTATGAGCGGTAGGACTTGGTAGCATCAAGCTTCTCGGTGAATCGCATAGAGCCCCATCCGTGGGAGATGAAGACTTGCTCGCGAGAGTCGATCGCATCAGTACCGTTAATAATGAAGCCAGAAATGTGGCAACAGCTATCAATCCAGTAAGGGTTGAAGAAGAAGTTTCCGTCCCTATCAGTAGTCTGGAAGCTGATCTTGGCAGTGGCTTCACAGGTCTTGCTGTCGAGAATGACCTCTTCCATACCTTGGTACTTGGTGTCGTAGTCAACCAAGGCAGTGAAGAGCTTGTAGGTCAGGCCCCGACCAATCTTGGAAGCCTTGCCCTGCCTCTCAGCCTCCTCCAGGGCGTCAATGCGACCCTTGATGAGGTAGCTGACACGCTCGAACTCATCAGCCCACTGCTCAGTGCTGCCGTAGACGACCTTGCAGGTAGCGTGCTCGGTCTTCTTGGCACCCTCTCCAGTGTGGAAGCTTACATCGGCGTAGCCGAGGGTAGCGTTCGCAGTGACGGTGGTGCGCAGGATGTGGGCATCGAGCTTCTCGTTGAAGATGAGAGTCTTGGGCACCTCGACGTTGGCAACATTCAATCCGATGTTCTCGGTGTCAGGGCGGAGCATCTTGTAGGCGTAGTCGGCAACGGTCATAGCCATATCGGCATAGAGGGTAGAAGGGCACAAGGGTGCACCATTGCACAAGTGACCCTCGACGAGAGGGCGGGTATCGGGTCGGGACAGGTTAGTCTCGGTCTCGATGAGAGCAATGTCGCCATTGATGTCCTCATTAGTGACAGCATGGATAGAGGTGGTCGACAGCTTAGGCCTGGCGGGTTCGATTTGGAGGGGAGCCTTGACTGCGGAAGGGCCGCGGTTCTTGGTAAGGCACCAGTCACCGGTGTATTGGAGCCAGTAGTTCTTCTCGTCGAAAGAGTAGGTTGGAAGGTCCAAGAGACGAGTGCAGTTGGTGAAGTCGCGGTGGAACTCATCCCAGTCCAAGTTGATGCCAGCAGTGTGGAGAGCGCACAGAGTGTTGCTGAGAATCTTGTAGGTGGGCTCGTTGCGGCGGAGGGTAGGCACGGCAACGGAGCTGATTCCAAAGGAGGACTTGACGAAGTTGGCAAGAACGGGGTGAGGGCCAACCTCAAGCCAAACAGTCTTCTCATCAACGGCGCCGGACTGCTGAGCGTGAACGAGACCGCCAAGGAAATTGACGGCGTCACGGGCGTGGTTGCGGAGGTAGGCAGCGTTGATGGGCTCGTGCTCTACCATCTTGCCAAGGAGGGGCGAGATGATGGGCACGCGAGGCATATCAAAGCTCACAGAGCGAGCCAGAGTCTCAAAGTCATCCAGGATGGGATCAACCTGAGCAGAGTGGAAGGCGAAGGGCACCTTGAGCTGGGTGCACTTGAAGCCGGCAGTGCCAAGAACCGAGGAGATCTCAGAGATCTTGGCAGCAGCGCCACTGAGAACAGTCTCGCGAGGACCGTTGATGCAGGCAACATTAACAGCCTCAGCCTGGGAGCCGAGAGCCTCCATGACAGCCTCGACGGGGCCGGTGACAGCAAGCATGGCGTGAGTGCCGGCGGTGCACTTCTGAACCAATAGCTGAGCGCGAGCTCCAACGAGGTAGATGGTGTCGCTGGCAGATAGGACACCTGCGGCGTTGAGAGCGGCGTACTCGCCGAGGGAGTGACCCATGACAGCGCTAGGGAGAATGCCCCAGGAAGCCCAGAGACGGGTCAGTGCCATCTCGAAGCAGCAGAGACCAAGCTGTACAACAACCGGAGACAACTTGGTGACATCGGCCTCGCTACCATCGATCAAGGGCAGGAAGCTAGGGAAACCGTGAATCTGGGCGAGCTGGTTGAACTCGTCGATGCTGTCGCGGAAGACGTGGTAGTGGGCGTAGAGGTCCTTGCCCAGACCAGCATAGTGAGAGCCCTGTCCGGTAAACATGAAGGCAATCTTGGGTTGCTGAGTAGAGATGGGAGTGAAGTTCTCCTTGAGTCTGTCCTTGAGAAGACGCTGGGCCTCAGGAAGGTCTGAAGCAGCAACGTTCATGCGCC